GAAAAATTCGAGAGAATTTAATTTGTATACTGTCTTTTTCTTACAGAAGAATGATTAGGTTTGTAATTCCGATGAAATAATGATTAACTTAAGATATACTATTGTTACTAAAAAAACAAAAAACAAAAAACAAAAAAAAACACAATGCTACTGAAAAAAAAAAAAGTTCCTCTTTTCTTAGCTCACATACGAACCCCTGTTCAGGTTAACCATCCGGGTCGACCCGTCCATCTGGCCGCCCCTGGCGCCCAGGCCCGTCTGATATGCCCGGCCTGGCCCATCCTGATTTCTAGAGCCCTGGTAACGGCCCGTCCTTCCCTGACGGTCCCTATTATAACCCCCTCCGACAAGGCCCGAGCCAGTTCCCCGATTGCCGCCAGCATTATTATAACCCTGCCTACCACCACCGCTGCTCCCCTGCCGGCCACCGGAAAATGAAAACTCCTGCCACCTGCCACTGGCCCCGCCTACCGAGCCCACGGGCCCCGCATAGTCCTGCCCATCCTTGCGCCTGACCGGAAGTCCACCACCTTCCAGAGAAATCCCACCTAAACGGGCCTCGATGGCCCGTTCGTTGGTCTCGGCCAGGATGGTGAGCTTCTCGGTGAGCTGGAAAGCCAGCGCCTGTAATCTGGTGTGCTCCACCTCGTGGAACACGATGCATCCAGTCGGCTGGTCCCAGCTGGCATGCAGCTCCTCATTGATCATCATCTTACTCACTATGCTACGTGTCTCAGGTTCCGTGAGGTCAAACATTTTGGACAGGTGATCGAGGCTGATTGAGTCATATGACGAGGAGTAAGTGAAGAGGTAGGTTCGGAGGGCTTCCTCTTTGATCTTGGCCTTGAGCATGCCGAGCACGTGATCCTTGTTTCTAAGTAGTCGCCAGATGTCGAGGGAGTTGATAACCGAGAAGGATTTGTCAAAATCGCCCTGCCTGAGGGCCCGGGTGGCGGCCATGATGTGGTCCCGGACATTCTCAGGCGGGCCCGTGAAGGTCTGGCGTTCGCTTGCGTCAAGCAGCCTGCGGAAGTTCTTGCTGATGACTTTTCGCCGGGCGTCGTGGACATTGGCAGCCATGTTCGGGACCTCAAGGAGCATTACGCATATTAGGTGTACGGCTTCTAGAAGCTCCAGGTTTATGTGCATGTGGTAGGGCATTTGGCGTCTCTTCTCTAGACGTTCCTGGAAGAAAAACAGAAATTTATGGAGAGGCCAAAAGCCGATTGAGAATTCCAATAACTTTTTAACACCTAAACCTAATGGGAAAATTTAGCAGTAGTGACCTATTACCCCCTTGTTAACAAAGGAAGGAAATAACCTCATGAAAATCTAGTCTGATAAGAAAAGCCAACCAGCGACTTTCAACATTTCACACACGGATAAATAAATTGGACGCGCAAGATGGTCTCAATTATGTAAAAAGCTTGCAGATGTGCTTGTAAAATTTCAAAAGCAGCAAATTAAAGAATTACACAACTTTACTCATTTTTACATGAAAATGAAGTTCATCAGAATTATTTCTATGACTAATTGCTTTTGGCATTTGTTATTATAAATTGCACACTCTAAGGGAGGATCTGGCTTCGAAAAATATGAACTTCGCTACGACTTACAAGTTTAATGAGGCATTTCAGTCAAAGCAACAGTGTACTTTTATACTTAACCCTAATCTTAAGTATTTCAATAAGCGTCAGTCCGTTAATAAGAAGCATGGATGGATTACACTTGAATCAGAAATTCAGCAAATGCAAAAATTGACAATATAAAATTACAGATCACCCAAATGCTATAAACTCAAGCACTCGAGTTGTGAAAAAGAATAAAAGGTAATACCTGCTCCGCAGTCTTCTCATGGTACCTGCTCTGAGAGACACCCTGGGCCAGCAGTTCCTTCACCCTTCCAGCTGAATACAGTTCCGAGAGACAACTATGGGCTTCAGTAACAAGTCCCACTCTAAAAGCACACAAGCCAAGCTGTGCCATGGCCCTGTTGAAGAGTATTTGGGTAGAAATATCCATGTGTTGAACGTTGTCCTGAAGGTGACTCATGAGTAACAAGTCTCGAGATGTAGAGAATTCATCCAAAATTGCATGGTGGTATATATCACAAAGCATTGCACGAGCCTTAGTCCGTTCATCACCATACTTATAAATAAGGGTGACAAGGATATCCATCAAAGTCCTGCTATTTTCGGGAAAAGTAGACCTACGAGGAACAAGCTCAGGGGTGGGAAGAAAAGCTGGAGGCCCTTTACCTTCCTCATTGGCTTTATTTTCCTCAGATGCTTCCCCACTATCTAGCTCAGCCAGTTTCCTCATAGCATCATACACCTCTTGTGGCTTATAATACACAAGCTCAACCCGTTTGAGGGCCACTTTAGAAGCACCCTTGAAATCACGAACCCGCTCCAGATATTCCTGAACATTCTGAGCAAGAGTCAGAAATATGGGCTCGTCCTTGAGCCTCTCGACATACTCACGTGTGTGTGGATCAATAACCTGAAGGCTCTTAAAATACTCCACATCTACCCTCTCAAGAAATGCCACCAGATTTCCCCATATCCTAATCGTGCCATTAAAGTCCGCACCTTTTTGGGTTTCGTTCTCATCAGGCTCCACCATATCATCAACAACGATATTCGGATACTGAGTCAGGATATCCAGTATCACAAGCAAGTTCTGCACACACTGTTTCCACACATTGATTGGCATGTGCCCGCTCAGGCCTGGGTTCACATCAAACTGTGCAGAGACAACACTGAAGAGAATCTCGAGCTTCTGAGCTGGCGTCTTGGCAACCCGGGTTAAAAAAGTGAGCTGCTCGATCAGCTCCATCCTCCCAGTCCCCTTTTTACCCCTGGCGGCGACAACCTCTTTGAACTTCTTGTTCACAATGTCCCACGTGATCTGACTAGGGTCCTTGAACTGCTTGTCCATCATCTTATCCTTCTTGCTCAGCATCTTCTCCCACCCAGGCCCACTCGGGCCATCATCCTTATCAGGCTCATCTTCATCCTCACTCTCCTCTGAAACAAGGGCCGCAGGGTCCTCGTCAAAATCATCATCCCCATCATCATCCTCGTCATCTTCATCATCCTCAGGCTCGTTATCTGGCTTCTCCTCAAAAAGCTCGGGCTTCTCCCGGCACTGGTTGATGAGATCCTCATAAAGCTTGTTGTTCTTCTTGAGCTTCTGCTTCATGGAGTTGAGTGCCTTGGCATTGCTGGTGCTCATCTTCTTCTTGGCCTCCTTGTTGGCGTGAGCCTGGTTAAGGAAGTCCTCCAGCATTACAAGGGCCTTGATGTAGAGGCCAGGGGCCCGGTCAGACTCGGTGGCCCGCATGACCTTGCCCAGCTGCTTGTTGATCTTCTCAAAGCTCTCCTGGAGGCTGACCCAATCGTTGATCTTCATAGCATTGCGCATCTGGTCGACAGTGGCTGCCATCTCATCGAAACGCTTGTCCTTGACACGTCGGACAACTCGGCGCTGCCCATCTGAGTCATCACTGTCGCTGTCTTGGGAGATTATGTATTTACTCACGGGCTTAGCGGAAGTCTGCTGGTCAGCGGGGTCATTTTCTTCCTGCTCGTCGTATTCGCTTGCTTCCTCTTCAGTCTCACTCTCATCATCCTGGAAAGTATTAAGGAAAATTGATGGAAATTCAAATTTTGAATTTTTATGGGATCTATCAGGGGTGTCAATTTACTACTAAATTTAACTGGACTACAGGACTACAAGCATCTATTTTAGAGATTCAGATACCATGACTGGAAACTAAGAACAATTACATTAACCCCATGAGAAACAAAAGCACAGACGGAATGATATTGAGGTCTCAGACAAAGAATCCAATTTGCTTAATTGATATAATCAGGACAAATTGAACGAAAAAAACTGATCTTGAAATATAATTAACTAATTGAATTGATAGCAAACAGACCTGCTGAGTCCAAAACTTAGATGACATCGACATGATTGTCTCAACAATAAACTTCTCTGAGCTCTTGTAAGGAAGAAATCAACGCAAGCTCTAGCAAGGAAGAAACCTGCATCCAATAATCGCCAACAGACGGTGAGAGAAGAGAAAAGTTACAGAAGATGAACATCAATTGATGCCCAAAAATCACTATAAATTCAGATCCAAATGCATAACTTTATGAAATATGGTAAATACAGGAGACGGCGTCCAATAAAGATAAAATCTTTGAATACCCTTGACCACGCACACAGATGAAAAAATTACAGACTAATAGGAATCTGTATAAACAAAAACGAGATAATGCAAGAGAGATGGAACCTGATTTTGCTGCGAGGAAAGGATGAAGCTTTTTGCTTTGTGGGGTTTGCGGAAGAAGAAAACTCTAGTTTATAAATCTCTTTATTTGGGCCTTTAAAGAACCGTATCAATAATATGGGCCCGTGATGGGCTTCTATACGCTTTTTTCAATGGGTTTCTCTGAACTTATTCGATTAATTTATGCCCATAGTTTTTTTCACCAATGTAGGGCGTGTTTGATAGGCAGAACTAGATAGGATAAACTCCTAGTCCATGCTTTGTCCGGGTTTGTGTTGCAAGACTCTAGCCCGCAGGTTAGGCCAGCCCGTGACTGAAATAGCATGAATCTTGGTTTTCGGGTATTAATTAATCTCGTGTTGCCCATGTGATTTTTTGCATCCCAACAGTAAACTAAAATGTGAAAGTTGTTTTTGTCCCCATTATTTGACAATTCTACCAGAATATCTTTGACTGACCAAAAAATTACACCATGTCAAAGATAAGACCCACATTGTCGTCTTTTTGGCCCAAAGAACATCGAACTATACTGTGATATGGTCATGTTCTTAAACAAAACTTGCAAATAAAAATAATAATAGTAACTTTAGTTAAATTAATGATTTATCTTGATTGCTTAAATTAAATTAAATTATGAGTCTTACTGTTCAATGATTATATTGAACATGTGTGTTTGTAAGAAATATACTTGAGAAAATCCACTTAAATAAAGACTACGCGGATTGGCGAAACCCTTCCCCTCAATCTCCATCAGTCGCTCACTCCATTTTCTGGCCGGTTTGCCTTCCTCGGTGAAGGGGTAGTCTCAGCTAGGGGTCCTCTTTGACCGACCTGCCCTCCCCTGATGTTTCGCGACCCTGTCTCTCTGTAAACGGCCCACGATTGGGGGTCTGACTTTCGGTTGCGGACGGGGTGTCAATTGATGGTGGCGTCTCTCTCGGTCGGCGAGTGGCCTGCTATTGGGGATCTCTCTTCCGTTGCCGGCGATGCTCTGATTGGTGGTGGTAAGTTCCTCGATTTTCTCTTTGTCTATAATTGTTGGGACCTGCTTTTCTGGCGGGGCTCCGCCTTTCAGGTGGGATTAAACCTCTCGTCGTCGGAAGTCTGTGGAGGTGTCGGTCCGAGCGCGCATCTACGGGTGGGGCGGGACTCCAGTGGCTGCGGCGCGCCCGTTGTGGTTGTCGGGGTTGAGGGTTCGATTCTCTCTCACTCTACCATGTTAGGGTAGTGGTGTTTGGCGGCGGGGGACCAGGTTCTATCGGAATCGTCTAATGGTATTAGATGGGTTCGGGTGTGGCTGGTGTGGGGGTTGATGGTGGCTCTCTCGGTTAAAGACGGGTCGGCTCTGAAGATTGGTTCGGGGTTCAGTTTCTTCTAATGTATAGGCGGCTTTCAGTTCGGTAGCAGTTTCTTAGTCTGGAATCTCTCCTATGTCAATCGTTCACTATTGTTGGTTGGGCTAGTTCGTTCGCTGGGGATGACTCTGTTTGTTTTGTTTTATTTGTGTTGTTTTTGTTGGTGTTTGTCTTTGTTTGTGTTTCTGTTTGTCTGTGTGTTTTAGGTTTGGGCCGTGGGCCCCGGTTTGCTCGAATGTAACTTTATTATTCTGTTGAAATCGTACATTCGGCCATTATTCTGGGATCGTTTTTTTTTTTTAAATTATTGTGTTTTAGTGAGTGGCGGATCCAGAAAATTTAATTGGGGGGACTAAATAGTTTTGAATTCCACACTTCATTAAAAAGACAAAGTTGAATTTCTAGAACTGAAAAAAAAAAAAGTAGTTCAAAAAAATACATACCATTCAAACTTTGTAACTATTAGAATTGTGCTCGACGTTCTCTCAAATCACGAAACCAATCGATGATTGACTTCGTAGTAATAGATATTGCAATTTTCCTTTCAACGAAGATAGTCAAAGAATTACAAGAAAATTATCTTCCATTTTACTTCAAAGTTTAGATTTAACGATAGTCATAGGCGAAAATGCACGCTCTGTGCTAATAGATTATTTAGTGATAGTCACTACATATAAGAACGATGAATAAATACACATATGTTTTAAACCCTAAATCTCTAAATAAATAAAGAAATAATATTATGAACATGACATAAATTAAAGTACACATAAATATAAAAGAATTATCAAATTATTCAGAAAAATCAAGGAATTAGACCGACGATCCTTGTTGTTGCTGCAAAATTATTCTATTTAATTTTTCACCTTGCAAGGTTGCCTCCGCTGTGTTGTGCGTCTCGGTGCCGCTGTTTTGTGTGTTTCTATCTCAATCTCTGGACTCTTGAATTGAGTTTATTCCTTTATATTAATTAGAGTAGTTTTATTAGTTTTATCCATAAAGAAATAATATAATACAATAAAAATGTGGAAGTTAAATGGGCATTTTATGGCTTATCTTCTATATTTTCTCTGATGGGCTTTCGCATGTCCTAGTCTACAGTCGATATATCTTTAGTTAATTTGTTATTAAAGATAATGATAATTAAATATACTTAATCTAATATATTACGGGTGTGATTGGTTGTAATAATGGTATAGGCTTGATTATTTCCCATGTCATATATTAGCTATATTCATCCAATTTAATATAGCTGTTTGGTTTCCTCTGATATCAGGCCCATTAATTCCTATTAATTTATTAATATGTTTGTTTACAGCCCATATCCATCCAACTTTAATTTTTCCTATATCTTTTCTCTACATACCCCTCACATTATACAAACACGCCATCATCATCTCAAGAGTTAATAATTGTCATCTTTTCTCCACATACCCCTCACATTATTACCACGCAGCCATCTTGCAAGTGTTATAAAACAAGAGAGATAAATAGAGAGAATAGAGAGAACGTATTATCTTGGTGTATATTCATTACAAATGAAACTTCTATTTATTGGAAAACATTTGATGACACAATTGTAATAATACAATTATATCAAGGGCAAAATAGTCATTCACATATATTATTTTATTATTTTCTATCAACAAATATCAATAATTCATAACTACTATCAATAATTCTTAACCACTGTCAATAATTCATATCTAATCTTAATAAATAAATATTTGATAATACCCCCCTTGAATTACAATTTTCAAACATATTTTAATTGATTTGAAAAAGGTCCAATTGTAACATCTTCTAGTACATCTTGTTGCCATCACATACTGCTGCTTCATCATGTCAGGAAAATCCAGTGCGATAAAACCTGATTATTATGTAATTACATTGCTCCCTTAGGAAAACACGGTGGGACAAACCCTGAGCATTGTGGAAGCATAACATTACTCCCCCTCAAATCGATCATCTTTAGTGGAGTATCCAAGTGTTGCCTCGTTAAAACCTTGTCAAGAAAACTCAGTGGGAAAAACTTGATCGAAGGAAAAAAGCGCAGCTACCCCAGTGTCTTCTTATTATCATGAGAAATTATATCAATTATCTAGTAGTCCTCATCATACCATGAATATGTCTCGTTAAAACCTTATTAGGAAAAACCAAGTGGGACAAAATCCTAATAAAAGAAAAATAGTACACTATTCATGTGAATACAATATTTATGTTGCCTCATTAAAAACCTTGCTGGAAAACCCAATGGGACAAAAACCTCAGTCAAGGGAAAAAAGAGTACAACATTTGGTTTTCGGGACTTGATATTCAGTATTATTTTGAGTTTGTCCCTCCCCTTGAAGAGAATAGCCTTTCCAGTTTACGCATACCAATACCATAAATATATTTTTCAAAAGTAGATGTATGAAGGGATTTAGTGAATAGATCTGCCAATTTTCACTAGATCGTACTTTTTGTACAATAATCTCACCGCTCTTCTAGAGCGCGTGTGGGTAAAAGAATTTTGGAGCAATGTGTTTCGTCATACTTCATTTGACATACCCACTACTCATTTATAAAACACAACCTGCATTGTCCTCGTAAATGGCAGTGGGGGTTATATCATTTATAATTCCACATGACCCACGAATATGTTGGATTAAAGATCTTAACCATACACATTCTCAATCGCCCTATCATAGTCAGATCTTCAAACTTTACTCTAACAGACAATCCTCAATCGCGCTTGGAAAGAAACAAAGGTATAGGAAGTAGGGCTGAGTACGGGACTCGGAGAATTTCGAACCGTTCCGAAAACCGAACCTAAATTACTCTGAACCGAAAAATAATCGTTGACTGTTTGACTTTCTTCGAACCGAACCGAAAAAATAATTGGTACGGTTTTGAAGATTTCACAAATATCCGACCGAGAACCGAACCGAACCGTCTCATACCGTACCGAATCGAAGAACCAAAACTAAGAACCGAATTATAATATTAGATGTGTTATTAATATATTTTATGTCAACTTTGATCTTATATAATATAGTAATAACTATTAACCTTCACTTAAATTTCATGCTTAGTAATATTTGATCTAGATTTTTTTTTATCATAAAATAATTATTTAAAATAATATGAAAAGTTAAAGAATATTTTATTAGTTGCACAAATATTTTATTAAAATAATTATTTGAATTTTAAATTTTCAATATCAGTTGCACAAATTTAGTCTTAACTAAAATTTAGAGTTATCTTTAAATCAAAATAAAATCTTTAATATGAGAAGTATGAATGAATGTTGGTTTTATTAAAGCATATAAAAATTATATAAATAAAATTTAGAGTTACTTCTAAAATTGATTTCAAAATAAAATCTTTAATAAGATGAAGTATTGATGAATGTTTTTTTTAAGCATATAAAAATTTAAATATAACTAGGTAGTCATTAAAAAAAAAAAAGATCTCCGAAGATCCGAACCAAACCGTCCCAATAGTCCTGAATACCGAACCGAACCGAACCGAACCGAAAAATAAAAATCTTTGAACCGAACCGAACCGAACCAACTTTATGGTACGGTTCTGGAGATTTATCAATCTCCGAACCGTACCGACCCACGCTCACCCCTAATAGAAAGAGAGAGAGAGAGAGAGAGAGAGAGAGAGAGAGAGCATAA